TCTCTTTAATAAGTTTACAGAGGAGGGGAATCCTCTTCTCAATAGGACACTCCACATATGCTGTAACAAAAGACATTCTTCATGTAAATTCTATCTAGCATTGGGTAAATAAAGGGGGGGTGGGGAGAAGCCATTGGATTTTTAAGTTTCTTAACATAATTTTTATATTGATTCATTAAATCCATCTGTTGTTAGATGCTAATCCTTTACTTCTCAATTTTTTTAATCATTTTTACATATGTCAGGATTATTTACAGTTACTTTTTTGAATGTTGACGCTAAACTTTGTAGGATGTATGATAACGATAAAGCTGATGATAACAGCAACAACAACAATAATAATAATGATAACAAAAGCTATTTCTATACTTACCCTGTTCTAAGCCATCCACTGTTGCCTCTTTTTTGTCAGAGTCTACATCGACTTCTACAGGATTGGCCTTAAGAGCAAGTGGGGCTAAAGCATTTGTCTTTGTATCTTTTGTTGCACTGAACAAAATTGTCTGACGTTCTCCTGTATCAAAAGTGGAATGCATTGCAGTGGACGTACCAACTAAAGAACAGTATATCTATAATCCAATGTATATGTCCAGTATATCTATATACAGTCACCTCCACTTCAAAGTTCCCCACACAGCAATGCGAATGTACAGTTTTGACAGTTATATCCAAAACATATGGGAATGTGTTTTGGAAACAAGAATCAAGACTACCAACTCCTTGAAAGTGGAGGGGACTGTTATTCTCATAAGACATTTAATTTCAATATTTCTTAAAAAAATAAAAACAGACACAGACTTGGTAGATGTTGTAAGATTTGCTTGAGATCATGCTCGAATCCTACATCAAGAATTCGATCTGCTTCATCAAGGACAAGACACGCCATGTTTTTGAAGACGAAATCTTTAGTCGATCGGAGATGATCTAGGAATCTTCCTGGTGTAGCAACTATAATATTCACACCTGTAAATGTATAATGCATATGAAAGTCTGATCATGAACACAGTCCTCTTCTATATTCTCCTTGCTGACATATGGTACGTCCACGCCATATACGCTGAATCTACTCAAAGATGTGTGCACTAAATTGTTCACTTGTTTGAATATTACTGCAGAGTCTTAGGAGTTACAGCCTCTCAAAAGTGGTCACTTTTTAGCCTTGTTCACCAAGAAATTTTATATGTTTAAAGCAAAATTGAAGAGTGAGGGGTAATAATATATTTCTATTTCTCTGACATGATTTCTTCAGTCCTTGAATTTTCAGGAAAGTTTTCTTTTCTTTAATGCTATTAATATCATTACTGTTATTGACACTGGGGTTATGATGTTATTATCAATACATATATTAATAAAAAATAACAGATAATTTTTTTCTTCTAAACATCAAAGAAAAGGATAAATTGACTAAGCTCTTGTGAAGCTATCTCAGTGTAAGCAAAATTGCTGTGGACGAGGCACTTCTGACCATACCTGTCCAGTACTTAAAACCAAATTTAATCTGGTAACATTATTAGATAGAAAAATTATGACAGAAGACTAAAGAAGAGGGAGGACAGAATGTATGAATTTAACAGAACAATATTGAACATTCAAAGCACATGTTAGGTCTTACCTCGCTGTAACTTTGCAGTTTCAGTTTTCATGTTGGTACCTCCCATAATCAACTCCACTGTCAGCGAGTGAGCCTTCACAAAGGGCGCCAAAACATCACGTGTCTGAATGGACAACTCGCGGGTTGGAGAGAGGATGACAACTCCAGTTCCTGAAGGAATATTCTTCTTATTTATTTTAGGTTCAATTTTATCTTTACCATATTTTTCTATTTTAGCATGATGCAAAATAGTTACTCTATGTGAATATTGCTATTGAAAACCATAACATTCAATATACTCAAATCTAAAACATTTGCAAAATAAATATTCAGTTTCAGAATCCTGATAATGTCTGGTTCTTTGAATATTCCATTCTGACCTTATTTCCTTCTGCAAGCCATTCATTTTGAACCAAGTTACAATCTTCACGAATTACCTTGACTGGGCGTGAAGTTCAACTTGCTCATCAACTCGACCACTGGGATGGCAAAGGCCAAGGTCTTCCCAGATCCGGTCTTGGCTGTCCCTCGCAGGTCCAGTCCCTCAAGGAGTTTAGGGATCGACTTGGCTTGAATCTCCGTCATCTCCTTGAAGCCTAATTGCTGGAGGACTCTTAGGGTTTTGGGAGATATGCTTCCCTCAAGTTTCTTAAATGATCTTTCCGAATTTCCGAATTCGAAGGTACTGTCATCTACCTTTTCAGTTGTATTTAGATTTCCTTTAGGCTTTCTTGGCCTCTTACCTGTTTGAAAGTAAAGAATCTACAATATGTGCTATCCATCGGTAATCTTGCTTTCAGGAAGGATATAGCCATAATACCATGCATGAATTAACTATGTCTGGATACTCACGCTTTTTAAACGGTTCTCTTTGTTCTCCTGTAGTTGCAGGTTTTGATTCTCCTCCATTGCTTTTTGTTTCACCGTCATTACTTTTGTCTGTCTCTTTCTTCTTTATGTCCATCTTTTGCTGTGCTTCTGTATTGTCTCCTACGAGCTGCTTCTTCTTTGGCCTCCTCCCTTGAAGTTCAAAGCACACAGCAAAAAGAAAGAAAGAAAGAAAGAAAAATGATAATGTGGGTAACAAATACACAAACATTCATCTCCAAAATGTACTTCAATACAGTTGCTAATATGTGTCATACCACGGATATAATTTTCCTTCATCTTTCTCCCTAAACAACAAAACCAATAATATGAATGAATATGATATAACTAATTTCATTCCAATACCCTGAACAGGTTAGGCCCTCAAATTTTGACATAATTTATTTTTGCATCCACAAACTTACACTAAAAAAGAGATTTGTGTGTATGTAAATATATATATATATATATATATATATATATATATATATATATATATATATATATATATATATATATATATATATATATATATAATTTTCCACAATCAGCCAGTCTGGCCTTGTTATTAATTTCTTCTTGCCATTAATGTTTCCTGATTTGCATATCATAACTACTGTCTGACACAAAGTACCATACATTAAGTCCCATTAAAGCTATTTATGTTACAATAAGGCAGTATTTTGCTATACTAATTTTTTGGCTTTGTATCATTTATTTTTCTATTATAAATTAATAGCTCTATCATAACCAATTTCATTTAAATGGTCTTTGATATGCATTCACATAAAAAAAAATTATACATAATCCTCTATCAAGAACTAGAGTTATAATCATATGCCATCAGACCCATTAGAACCATGTCCAGTTGGTTACTATATGAAATTAATCAATGTTAAACTTTAATGGTTACCAAAAATAAATCCCACTTACTCCTGTTTCGTTCCTGTCTGTGTCCGTTTTCAGCAGGGCCTCTTTTCTCGACAGGCTGAGGCGGACCAACTCTTTCCGTCTTATCCTGTGGCAACTGCTGCTTAACAGCTAGCAACAGGGGAGATAAAATATTATAGAATAGCAATCTTTTCTGAACTGTTATAACACATTTAGTTTCATTTGAACCATTAGGACCACATCCAGTTTATCACTTAATATAGAAGAATCGCTTACGCTTCTTTGGTTGTCGGCTGTCTCCATTTTCAGCAGAACGTTTTTTTGTGATAAGGTGATGCGGAGCAACTCTTTCAGCGTTATCCTGTGGCAACTGCTGCTTAACAGCTACCAAAGGGGGAGATAAAAGTTATGGAGTACCAATCTTTTCTGCTATAACATTCTAGGAACATATTGTTTAAAGTTTACAACAGGACTACACCTGCCAGAGACTAAGTCCCCCAACTTGAATGAATGAATGAATAAACCCTATCCTAAATAAACAACTACCAAGAAGATGAATCAAATCTTTCTTAAACCCCCTACTGCTCACTGTGACACTGGACACCCTTCTAATTACCATTTCTCCCAAGCTAGTGTGGTCCTTTAGTGTACTTGGC